ACAATTAAATAAAGTAAAATTACTTGAAATTTTATTAAGATAATCTATTTTAATTTTAATTAAAATAAATTCAGCACTTAAAAAAATATATAGTTATATATTTTCTAAACAGATTTATTAATTATTAAAGCCTAAACAAGCTTTGAACAATCTTGAACACTTGGACAATTTTGGATATGGACAAGTCAAAAAAGGCTTTGGATAGCCAAAATGTACAATGCTGACTGAGGCTATGTAAATCTACAAGGGCAAGAAATAAGTAATTAAAGGAAGGTTGTGGCTTGAAATATAGACTAGATTATAATAGTATTCTAAAGAGTGGCTTGAGATATGAACTTAGTGGTGGCAGTACAACAGGTATAAGTTAAGAAGGAGTTACCAAATATGCAGATAAATATATATATAAAACATATACTACTCTGTTACAGTATTAGATTTACTTCAAGGATAAATTAGTTCTAGAGTGGCTAGTAATATAGTGGTGTTGCAAAAATTTACATATAGAATAAATAAGTTATACTTGTGTTAGATAAAGATAGATAGTATATTGTGATTAGAAAGTTTAAATAGATAACCTCATAGTTGAGTTACAAGTATGGCAAATAGTATAAAACTTTTGGATGAACTACTTAAATTAAGTACCAAAAGTACATATATGGCTTGATATACTTTTATTATAATATATAATACTTATATCTTATTTAATAAAACTCACCAACTCAAGAAGTTATCTTAATACTTAAAAAAAAATATATATATATATTATTAAATTAGCTAATTAGAATTGTTCTATATAGGAGAGCACTCTTATAGTAAATGAATATTACATAATATTTGTCATGGCTTTTATATAAAAATCTAAAATGTTTTTATATAACAATAGTTAATACACAATAAATAAGTTTTAGTTATTTACTATAAGTGTTTATTTGTTATTTTTAAGCAAATTAATTAAATTATATATTTTACATATTCTATAATAGTAATAATATTTTTAAATTTTAACTCTTTTTGACAATCCTTCATACCAAAAATTCTACTAATACTAATCTATAAATATTGAGTAGTTAGTATGTTTTTTTATAACAAAACTTTATCAAATAGTATTTGGGTTCAAGAGTTTCAGATTGCATATAAGCACTATGAAATAAAGTTGAAAAAAACAGCTTCTTGTGGGATTGGCTCTCTGGTAAAAGTCTATAGAGCTATCAAACAAGTAGTTTTGGTAACAACCAAAGAAGTTTTTGTCAAGTTATATCTGAGCAAGTGCAAGGATAAAAGCTTGGATAAATATACTATTCTATACAATATAAACTCTTATACTCTCTATTTTGGTGCTTACCCTGGCCTGTTGTCTTTACTATTACCTACTTGTACTTTCAACAAAATTTTCAAAAAAAGTGGACAAAACAGCTTACCCTATTAGAAGATCGGTATTGTTTACTTCTTTCAAATTTGAACAACCAGATAGATTGCAACTATGTGTTTTGGAGTGATCATAATAATAAACATAGTGCTACTTATAGAAGATTGGGACCTTCTATTTATTTCACATCCAGATTTAGTCGTACATTAGAAAGAAGATTCTAGATAATGTGAAACTTTATAGTTGAAATATACTATAGTTGTATTAGTTATATAATTTTTATTATTTGACTACAAACTATTTCTTAATAGAGTAGATTGGTTAGCTCATCAAAGCTTTTCTCTTTGTTTTTCTTTTTTTATATTTCCCTGTTTCCCTATTTGTCTTCCTTTTTGATTTCTCTTTCAATTATATATATTTTTTTTTAGTTTTAGTTTTTGTTTTACTTCTTAATATTATTTCTGTATTAGTAATACAGAACTTTACTTTTTTGTGCTTTTGGTAAAGAAAGAAAGATTGAAGAAATTAGTTTTGGACAGGCTAACAAGATCTTCTAACGCATATATGAGTCAGTATAACAAGTCACATCTGGGCGCAGTATCTGTAGCTGGGTAATGCTAGGCTTGTAATTGCAAAAGACATTTACTAGAAATAGGTTTTGTTTCTAAAACAGATTTTACCATATAAATATTTGCATTGAAGCACTAACATGACTATCAAAGAATAAAAAAAAAAAAAAAATTATATTTTTAAATTTTTTGGATTATAAGCATATTATAGCATGTGATATCTAATTAAGTCTTATTATTATTAAGTTATTATTAGTAATTACTATATTATGTTTTTAAAAATAAAAATATATAATAAATATATAGTAATAATATTTTTAATTTTTTTATATTTTCTGTAAAATAAATATCTAAATTTTAGATAATAAAAGATTTTTATACTTGTTAAAAATATATATATATATATATATATAGATATCTTAATATATAGTGAAAAGCTTTTGTTGCAAAAACTATTCTAATTTTTCAAAACAACTTTTCTAAAACTTTTGACTTTTTATTTAATTTTTGTTATTAGTTATTGATATCTGCTATTGTTATCTTGCATATTAGTATATATAATATATAAATAGCTTTGGTATAGTTTATATACTAGATATAAATACACAAAAACAAATATTTACTTAATAAGTTAACTACCTGGATATTATATCAGAGCCTATTTTGATTATATTATTATGTGATTGAACCTGGCTTTAGCCATCCTCAATATAGTAATTTACTAAATATTTTTTAAAAATTATTATAAAACTTTCAGGATATATACAATTTGTTATGCTAAATAATTTTATTTAAAAAAAATTATTAGTTAATTAATAAAAAAATTTAGTTTACATATTACTAAATTTAGTAATTCTATTACTATATAAACTATATTAAAAATTTAGCAAATTGTTTAAATATAATATTTAAATTTTATTTAAATTATTTTAAAAACTGTAGTTTAAAAATTTTTTAACTTTTTTTATTTAAAAAATATAGATTTAAGAATTTGTGATTTAATTTTTAGCTTAATATCTTATATATTTAGCTCTGTATAAATTTTTAAAAAGTGCTCGTAATAATATAGTACTCCTCTGTATATTTAATTTGTTTAATATATTTAATTTATAAATATTGAACAATATTTCCAATTGTTCAATTATTTATTAATCCCCTATTTGCGTATACAATATATATAACTCATTTAAAATTATTATATTAAAAATATTAAAATCTTACACTTTTAATTTACTGGTTTATTTTAAATAATATTACGGTCATTTTGGAAGTATAACCCCAAAACAGACCAGTAAATTAAGAATATTTACTATCAAAGATTTTTTATATGTCTAATAAAAAAGCTTTTATATATCCAATTAAGTTATTTAAACAATCGAACATTGTTCAAATGTCCAATATTTTAATGTATCATTTTCTGATAATAATATTAATTCTATATAAACTTTACAGACTGGACAGTGTATCAAAATCGAAGAAAATAGTGATTATCTCAAATTATACGCATTGGTAAAAGCTACATATTAGCTACATTGTCAGCCAAATGCCTGGAAATTATAAGCCTTTGAATTTGTGATGTTCCCTCGTAAATCTGAAATATCTTAGAGTCTCGATATAATTTTTCAACCGGATATTCTGTTGATAGAAAATAGAGCAACGATTAAGAATTATCACTAATGTATGTATCTGTAATGGCCATAAGTGCACACCTGTATTAAAGCCATTACCACCAAAAATTTGTACAGCCATGTTAGCCGAGTTGACAGCTACATCAGACGCGAGCTAAGTAAAGTAACAATTAACAATCACATCATTTTATGCATATAAAAATTATAAATAAGTTCACATTACTGCTTTAGCGATAGAGGCGTAGAATGTGTTTTTCTCGCCTTGATCGAGTAGCCAACCCGCCTATTGAAACGTGTTCGCGTTATATTGGCATACAAAAAGTACTATGAATTTTCAATATATAACTGTATCAATAATACATAATATATACCTTCCAAACCATGTTTCGAGCCGATTCGATACCTATTGCCATATCAGCAAGTATAAATGCTATACTTTGGTGTTCGAAACTTTATAAAGTTGATAATTAACAACCACTTATTGGTATTTGAATGTAAATTGTAACAAAGTGCAACGATTAATAATACTAACATTGGCTTCCCCATAGTTCGTCTTTCAAGAGAATATTTAGTAGCTTCTTCCAGAGCACGACGCGCCAATCCTACGGCAGCGGCGGCAATTAATGGACGAGTAATATCGAACGCCGACATCGCAATTTTGAAACCTTTACCAACTACACCGAGTCTAATTCAACAAAATAAATAGTAATCAAAATTTTGAATCAACGCGTTTGTCATTAATTTTTTTTTAATTAAATCTAACTTACACATTTTCCTCCGGCACAACAACATTCTCAAACGAGATACCTCGCGTATCACTAGCGCGTTGACCCATATTAATTTCTTTTCTACCAACAGTAATTCCTGATGTGTCTGCGTCTACAATAAATCCGGTAAATGCAGAACCGGATTTAGCATTCGGATCGGTACGGGCCAAGACGAAATACCAATTGGCCTTTCCACCATTGGTAATCCACATTTTTTGTCCATTAATGACCCATTTGTCGCCTTTCTTTTCCGCCCTGGTTGAAAGTCCTGCAACATCAGAACCAGCACCAGGCTCAGTAACACAATATGCGGCCATTAATGGCTCCTCGGTCATACGACCTAAATATTTTTTATTTTGTTCTTTATTTCCCGCGACGATTAATGGAGCTTCAGCAAGTCCATTTGCCTCCATTGCAGTTTGAATGCCAGTGCAACCCCACGCTAGTTCCTCAGTGACTAGACTAGAATCAAGCACACCAAGTCCAAGGCCACCATATTCTTGAGGAATATGCGTGTTTACTAAACCAAGTTCCCAAGCTTTTTTTATAATCTCTGTAGGATACTCTCCGGTTTTGTCATGATGAGCAGCGTTTGGAGCGATCACTTCGCGAGAGAAATTACGCGCGAGCTCTTGAAACTCTCTCTGAACTTCATTCAATGAAAAGTTTATACTACTAGTAGTGGTCGCGAAAGACCTTATTGCTACTGGGCTGTAACGGCCGATAACCGAACAGAATCTCTGTGGAAATCTGATCATTTGTAAAGGGAAATAGACAAATACCCAATATAGATATACTAACCATTTTTTTTTTTTTTTAGTAACAGTAAAGAAAACGTGCAGAATTGTTTTGAAGCCTATCAAAAACTCTCAAAAGTTTTTTTATGCAATTTTTTCATTAAAAAAAATCCTTTTAATAAAATTTTACTTCTTTACAACAATAAAAGAGTATAATACTGTAAAACCTAACTAAAACTAAAAAAAAAAAACTGTTTTAAAGTCAAATATACAGTATATATAATAAATATATATACAAAGTGATGCTAAAATTTAACAAAATATATATATATATATACTGTATATAGGTTTAGGCCCCAGATAAAACACTAAGTTTGCTTTTATTAAGCACTTAGTCTGAGTTCTTATTCTTAGTATTAGACTTAAAATACAAAACCTTTTTCAATTATGTAAAAAGTTTTTATTAAGTTTAATAAAAATAAGAGCATGGTTTTATCTTTTTTTTTTTTTTTTTAATATTAAAGGTGACCACTTAGGCCATTGGCATGAGCTTTATTTCGGATAGTTACAATAT